TGAGTTCTGTGTGAAAATGGATGACAAGATATCTCCACACTATTAAAAGAGAGTAGCGACTAACCTGAGGTAGATATGTGTGCCTAGAAGGAGCAGGCTTTGGGAACAGTTATAAAAACTGTAAAAAAAATCCCAACCCATCTAAATTAAAATCCTGACTGATCCACAGAGAGATACAAGCCTAAGTCACACACACATTGACAATAGGGTTCAATTAAATGATATTAGGGCCAAAAGAGAAATAACTGGTAGTGATTATACTGGGGGTTGTGGTGTTTCTAGCACCAACACAATATGCTGACTATAACCTTGGACTTGCTGACATGAAAGCCAGAATATACTGTCAACAGAGTATGTGCCCCTAAATGTCATGATACAAAATATTTCATCTCACTGACTAAGTGCTTCCATTTAATGTAATTAATTTTCAAAAGAAGCCAAAAAAAATCCTCTGCAGGATGAAATCAGAGATATTCAGAGATGAGGTCATTCCACCAAGTAAAGAATCCCCGTTTAAAATAATACACAAAATATTTTAACAACAAGCACTAATAAGTCATTCAAATGAATACAAAGCATAAAAATACTGTACAATAAATATGTATATATTATTTATTTATGTATTTAGATTTCAGGTGCCACATAGAAAAGAAATAAATGACCTGTATAGATCTGAATTTCCCAAATAGTAATATTTCAAACATGATATTGAGATGGTATATCTTAGTCACAGGAGTACTTGCTCTTCTGATTAAAATAATCAGATCTCAAAAGAGAAGTGGTGCCAAATTCAGTTCTAGAGTAAGTGGGCAGAACTACTGTGTGAACTGACTGGTTAATTCTAAGGCTAACTTTTAGCCCTGGTGGTCTTGAGCAAAATTCTAAGGCCAGCTCCTCAGTGAGTGTAAATAGATTTAGCTTCAGGATCTGGCCCTCGATTTTTTTACAAGTAACATAGTAATAATTAATAAAATATATCAATATGATGGGATAACATTGAGAGAGAAAGTAAAATGAATCTCTAGAAATGCAGTGTTGGTAAATATTATGGGTCTAGTTTTGTTCTCCCTTACTGTATATTTGATTAGGATTGGTATAACTACTCCTGATTTAAACTGCCAAAAGTGAGAGCAGAATAAGGTTTACTGATCCTGTTTTTAAGGATGAATATTTTAAATGTAAATATGTAAATTGCTTCCATCACAGATCTATTTGGATGTGTTAGTATATATTTGTATTTCCGGGAGTTCAAACTACCCTTGTTAGAATTAATAGAAAGCATATTATGGACTCCTTGGGATTAAAAAAAAAAAGATAAAATAATGTATCAGTTGCCATTCTTTCTTGAAGATTCTGTACTAAAGAATTTCAAATACCTCTTCTCTAATTTGCCTCTTCTCTGGGACAGAATCCTATGTGCTGGAATGATAGTAAATCCATTGTCATAATATTTGATCATTTTCTTTTAAGGGTAGATCAGGTCCTCCAGGTGTCCCCGGAATGCCAGGACCAATTGGATGGCCTGGACCAATGGGACCTAAGGTAACACTGAAACACTTTTACTACACTGAGTTTTGTATATATTGAGCAGAATGGGTAATTTTGTCATGTATTTCAGGAACTAAAACATGTTTCCAAATCAAGTGTAATGGAAACCAAACTGTAAATCTTGTGTATATTGGGAACCACTTCAAGCCAGAGAGTGAGGCACACATCCCTAGTTCCAGCATGTATGCTAATAATTATAGGCCCCCCCACCATGCCCATGATTGGTCATTTTCCTCCATAGCCATTCAGTTATCCCTTTCCTTGGACATACTGCATACACTTCTTGTCTGCATAGCTTTTTGTTCAATCAGTCATGATACAAGTTTCACTTGTTATATTTTCTAAACAGCTAGAGTCATGATTTCAGTTCAGTATCTAAAAGGTGTTAATTATAGTGACTAATCATTGTAAACTGCAAAGGAAATGATGGAACAAGCTTTGTATTTGCTACAATGGGGTAGTCAATGAGGTGAGCTCATGATACAGAAGCTCTAGTGTAGGCTTTTATTGAACACCATCCTACATATGAGATGCACAGTTGTCAAATTAGCTGAGATAGGTGTGCTGGAAAATCTGCCTCTCCATTCCAAGATTACCATGTACCTCTTCAATAATCCAGTTAACCATTAGGCAAAAGGATCACGTACAGTGGGTGCCATTAAAAAGTCAAACTCTGTACCCAGTACCTCTGATTCTCCAGTTGCCTTGGTTTTTGCATAAGGAGATGCTACAGTATCCCAGATTCCACATTGTGGGGAATGATGGGAAATGCTGAGAGTGGGATGTTTCTGATTCCAAACCAAAGTTGGAAAGCAGAGGCTTCCTCTAATTGTTTACTGATCAAAGGTTAGGTCAGAAATATCTTGCTACTGAATATGATAGTGTCTGTATTTTGCGGCTTCTCTTAACTTAATATGCACAAGGCCATGAGCAGTAAAGGGCTCGGTGCCCCATTTGTGATGAAAGTGGGGAAGCTATCCTTCTCAAAAGAGATGATACACGCCAGGTTTTTTCCCCCAGTGGCAGCAATGAGAACCAGGGGATTGCACAACCATCTAGTGCTACCACTAGAGCTCTGAGAACAGAGTAACTGTATGTTAAAAATGAAAAACTCATTCACTTGGCCATTTCCATCCATGAGTCCTCGTCCTTTAGTGTGGGCTGCCTTTCTGTACTCAATTTTCTCTCATGTCAACTATTATTGTAGATTTTAGCCTACCCTTTACAGATCCTACTTCTTCTGATCTTTATCTTTTTCTCATACCTAGGCTCCATGTTCTACCTTATTTCTTGTTCTTCTTCGTTCATCCGCCTGCTCTATTCTTCTGTTTCTTCTGTTCTTTAGATTTGTGTCTTGTTTCCTTTATTTCTGTCTTGTACTCTTCCTTTATTTCTGTTTCCCTCCAGTATATGGTAAGGCTATCTTGGCCTAAATAGGTTTATATAAGTGCCTGTGCTTGTTTCCGTAATTCATGTTCCTTTTCCCCTCCCTTTTCAACATCCAGGTGTTCTGTCTCCCTCTCTGTCAATCTTCAGAGGCCTTCCTTTCCATTGGTTATTCTTCCAGGCATTTTTCTTTTTGCAAAATTCCTTTGAGCTGCTTCCTCCCTGTGTTCCTCGTCTCCTTTCTCTTTCCTTCCTTATTAGTCCTCTTTCAGGTTTCCCCTGTCCCTTAGACATAGCCTCCCTCCAGGTCTCCTTTCTCTTCAGCTCCATTAATGTTCCCCTTGCATAGGCTTCACCACTGAGGCTGGCAAGACCAAAGGCATTTCCTTCTGCAGGGAGCACAAACAGCCCAAGTTTTCCTCCTTGCTAGAGTTGCCACTTCTGTCCTAATTCCAGATTTCACCCATTTCAGATGCTTATCTGACAGGCAGCCAATACATTGACTGACAACAACCAGAGAAGAAGCTGCAAAGCCATTTGTGGACACAACAGTTGCCAGGCAACCGTGCAACATGGTAGATGTCTGAGGCCTTGATTGATATCAAACAAAATCAAGGTTAGACTAAAACAGCCAGGGTGTATCCCTCCAAACCAAGACAATCCCAACATTTGGTCACAATAACGGGGAGATGCTATAGATAGGGTACACTAAGTTGAGTCATTATGCCTTGGCCCAGAGAAAAATGATACCAAGAATAATTTTCCCACATGTCCTTTTGCAGTGTCTGGAAAAACTAAAGCATATATTACTTCAAAAGGAAATCATATCCAAAGAGATGAGAATGGAAGAAATGATAAAATGCCTGACGAATCAGGTTAGGTCAGTTGACAATATACAGTTTGGATTTACCATTGTTAAAGTCAAGCATGTTTCATACATTCGGTACAAAACCCAAGCCTTCAGTTGTTCTGTGCAGCACCTTTCAAGAGCCACCATTAATATCTGTCTTTTTTAATTCTTTTAGGGTGAAAAGGGGGATTTGGGTGTGATGGGACTGCCAGGTACAAGAGGACCAATTGGCTCAAAGGTTTGTTTAATCCTACATATCCAGACATTGGTTTCTAGCACTCTGCTGCTTCCATCATGATTGGTTAGAAAGCACTTTTGGAGATTTTGGTGGTTTCAAATAGGAGAACACTTTTGGGTTTTCTTTTAAATGCAATTAAAACCATAAGATTTTCTTCATTAAGCTAAAAGAGGTCATGCAATATGGCAGGATGTGACTACTTTCCTAGCTCCTTACTGAAATGTTTTGGTGTAAACCAAAAATGTAATGAGGAAGTGATTCATTTTTAGAGCAAAGCACATGTAACCCATCCCACTATTTTCTCCTCGTCCCATAAGATTATGTGGACAAATTCAGTCCTCTGTTATAACCATGCACACTTGCTGATGGATTTAATAGTGGGAAGAATTTGGCCCATGTACACAATGGTGTCTATAGACATCATATTCTCTATTGTATTTATTTGTATGCCATGGCTTCTGAATGTATATATGCATGACACAAAATATGAGGGAACTGGAAATATGAGGTTTCTTCTCGAACCTCCTTCTAATTCTTCCTTCAAAAAGTATGGAGACCTTTTTCTCTTGTGGGAAAGGAATGGTTCTAATGGAGATACTCTGGTAGCTGCACAAAACATGCATTACAATGTTGTGAGGCTAGCTCAAGATTTGTGACATGGGTGTTAGAACAACCAAGAATAGATTGCCACCAAGACTATGCAGGCTTAGTGGGAGGTACGTGAATCCTGAAGTAATTCAGACACAATCCATCACAATTATCCTGCTCACCACGGAGTCCCAGTACCTAAATTCCAAGAACTTCCTGTTACCTAAGATGCTAATTATGTGCAAATCCAGAAGTTTTTGAGCAAAACTTTGGGTCATTTATTTGCTTTACATTTGTGATACCAAGTTAATAGTAGAGCACTATGTTCTAATTTAGCCAGTAGCATTTGTGCTGTGGTACTTATATCAGGGCATTTCTTTTATGTACAAGTCTGCAAATTGTTCAGCATGCAAGACAAAAAGCGTGTGCTGCCCAATTTGATCTGAAGACGGAAAGGAACAGGAGAACACATTAAGGACTTAGTATTTTTGGGGTGTGTGAGAATTAAGGGTAAATTTACAACAGTTAAAGAAATAAAAACCAAAGAAAGGTAAGCCACCTAACTGTTCCTATGCCCTTCCATGAGTACACACTGAGGACAGACATGTTCAATGTTCTAGTTGAATGAATGTCTTTAACATGACAGGAATAGCACAATCTCTCTCATGCAATCAACGAGGATTTCCAAATATGACCTGAACTCAAATGTCAATTGTACGCTGACCAATGCAGAGAGTGTGTTATTTCATCCTGCTCTTTACGTCACTACCTTACTCAAAAACAGAGCAGGAAAGAAGAAATAGATGCAGCCATTTTAGTCTGGGAGACTAGTGTTGTGAAATCTCATTGTGTGGGCAAGTTAATGAAAGGAAGGGAAGGCAAATGTTATTTGATTTGTAAAAATGTACAGAATCAGCATTTCTTTGGTGTCATCCTCTGCAGCATGGCAGGCCCCTTGTCCTACCCCCTCCCAATCTGCTAGCACCAGTTTCTCAAATTGATGGAAATTTTGACAGTACAATGTCATAGGGAATTAATCAAATCGGGTGTTGTTTGTAAACGATTTCTACCACAAATACAAGGGTCCCAAATATGGCAAACTTGGAACAATTATGTAGATGTATACCGAAGAAAATATTTTAACATCAACTTTTTCTAATAATGCTGTATACAGGGATGCATTGCTTGCCTAAAAAGACATTGATCTTTGGTAATCCTGGAGAAATTAGCCTTGACCTGTACTACTGAAAACATTTATTCATTAAAGTCAGCAGTGTTATCTCTGTCCAAGGCAGCTCTGCGAGACATGTGGTCACACACATTTTCTTAATGTGCACCTCACTCCCACCGCTCTGTACAAGGCAGTCGGTGGGCCAGAATTTGCAGGGTGATGAGCATCTGCTCTTTGTATACAAGCATTTGATTAGCTGAATGATTGATTCAAGAATGAATGGGAAGTTTTGGATGTGCTTGATCATCCTGGAGCCCTCCCATTGCTTCATAATTCACCCTGTTGAGAGCAGGTATAAATGCACCCTTTAGTCAGACTTAATTTTTCTCCATTTACTCCTTGGAAAACATCCACCATCTAGATTTGCAAGTATCATGATGTTGATCTTCAAATGATAAACTCAGCATACAAAGGCTTCCAGTGCATTTGACTTCCTTCGTAACTGTCTCAGTCTTGCTGAGTAAAGAGAAAGTCTTGGATGCTGAATCCAATGTTTTCCAGCCAACCTTCCAGTAATGTTACATTCTGGGAAAATCTGGCAGTGAGGTGGCTGGTAATGGTCTGAGCAATAGCATTACATCTCTGAGAGACAGACAGCAATTCTGTTCTCCAGTAGAAGGCACAAAAGCAGAATTTTGCTGAAGCCTTGAGTAGTTACTCTCAGAGAGCGCTAGGACATCTTTGTCTTGTCCAGATACCTGAAGTGTAAGGGTATCTCTCTCTGTGGCATTGACAGCATGCAAGATAATTTTGTGTCAGCCCCCTCATGGTACTACAGAAAGATCTCCACTGCACAGTGCAAGGCAGCAGCTTCATTGTATGATGCAACAATGAAGTTCTTTGAGCACATTTCTCCTGCAAGGTTATGAGGTTTGCTTCTTCACTGTGACATTGGTGGTATTTTTAAGTCAATTCTTTTGTACTGGATAAGTTCAACACCCTGCAGTCTCTTCTTTCCAATAATATTTTAATTGATTCCTCTGCATACACAACAAACACAAGGAAGACTTTGTCATAGGTCCAAGTGTTTTCTCTGTAGCCTCATAATGAAATATTCAGCCACTTCATGGCAACTATTTACTGTTTCTGGTTTGATGAGAGCTTCTGCTTCTGCTGTGCCATCTATAGCTACGTCTATACTGCCAGCTTTGCATTAGTATTAGCATTTTGCCATGTTTCATTTGCATAATTTATTCAAGCTGTTTTTGCGCAATGGGCTTTGCCTCTGGGAGAGGCATAAGGATCTTGTGCAAAACGGGGGTTTTGTGCAGAAAAACACCCCCATCCACATTACTTGTTTTTGCACAAAAACGGCTTGAATAAATTATGCAAATGAAGCATGGCAAAATGCTAATTTATGCTTCATTTGCATAGGCTCTGCCGGCAAAGCCGGCAGTGTAGACAAAACCTATGATTGCTATGCTGAAAGATCTCTGCTGGCATATGGTACCATTGTTAGCAGGTGTTGGCTTAGGAAGAGCATGTAAGGTGTGCGTTTTGCTGTTCATCTGGCATGTATGCACAGGACTGCTAACAGGGAGCAGTTGCCCTGGAGCCTGGTGATTTAAAAGGGCCCGGGACCCTGGGCCAGCACCACTGCTACTGTAGGAGCCACCAAAGCCCTAGGATCTTTAAATTACCACTGGAGCCCCTTGCAACATGACACTAAGGGCATGCTATGGGAGGCTAGCCCCTCCTCTTCTGCCCTGAGGCCTCGTCCCTTCCAGGGGGCCAAGAGCCAAATCCCCTCCGTCCCCCGTCCCCCCGACACACACACACACACATTGCCCCAAGCCCAGCAAAGTCTGTTGCCATCCCTGCATATGCATTATTCTATTGCATTCAAACATGGATCATGGTGCCAAGGAAAACGTACTTTCTCAAAGTCTCAGTGAGATCAGCATCCCAATGGGATGTGGACATGACCAGGAGATGAGCAAACAATGACCTGTCTGTGGTTAGCTCTGTCGCAGTACCTGCCAACTTCACTCTTTCTTCTTTGCATTAAAGCACAGCTTTATTCTGTTCTTTTTCATGATAGCCCATAGATTGATGAAGCTTGCATAGCCCTTTGGGTTCTGAAGGCTTCATACAAGACATGATGCAAAGTATTCCTTCAACTGACATCCTTAACTAGCTCATCCCCAAAGACTGCTTTCATTGTGGTATTTGGGAGATCTTGTCCATCACACATAAATGGGCTGTCAGTGTGAGTAAGCTTATCCTGTAGCTTTAAAATGGCTCCTTTTTGGCATTTTAACAGCACCTAAAAAGTCCATATGGTGCTTGGTTATTTCTGGGGAAATTGTCTCTGCCATATGTAATTTTTTGTTCAAAGTTTAATGGAGTTCTGGAGTTGTCAGGAAAAACTGGGGAAAAGGGATTTGGATGATGTGTTATGCTTAGCAATCCCTCAGTGACCTTCATTCCTCTGTTTACATGCACTGGGTCTTACTCTGAACCAAGTTCACCGAAGGGAACTGCTGACCTTTTAACAACCCTCTTTCCTTTCTGAAATTCCTCCTCTGTCAGAGTCTGACTTTTCTCTTATTTCAGGAAGATACCAGGCTATTAATGCAGAATAGCTGATTAAAGCTAAAGCAAAAAAGTATTTCACAAAGTCTTCCAGTGCTGCAAGGTGCAAATTCCAATTAGCTATCCTGACAGATCAAATAAAGAGCATGGAAGATTTGCCCACCACTGGTGTTTGTCCCAGCATCTTCAATTTTTTTCTGGTACTCACTGTACTTCCTCTTCAGCCTGGCCAAATTCAGTTTCTATGTATACTGCTTGTAGCTT